AATTCTATTAGCATACTACAAAGCTGGATGGCTTCCCCTTGATAATAGAAAATAAATTAAGGGGACATCAGGTTTCCAAAATAATTTTGCTAATCTGAGCCAAAGTTTTCTTCATTATCTGAGTCACTAACTTGGCATTTGCATTTATACCAGGGGAGACCTCTTTCACAAAGTACTTAGAACTTCCCAGGAGAGAAATTTTGTCTTTATTTTTTGGCCATTTCATTCTTTCCAAGTTGGGAGAAGTTTAAGTAGGCATACTAAATTGTTCGGAGAAAGTGAGTCTACCAGGGTTGATTTCTAGCATTAGGCAGTGCTTGAATGGGGACTGTGAGATGGTGGATATTTGGTCTAGAATGGCTTCCCTCCCCGACATGTGGTGATCACCTGCTGTGGTGACAGGATTTTTTTTTTTTTTTAACAAGAATGAGTTTGGCTAGAGAAAAATATCTCCAAGTTGTTGAAGTTTACTCAAGATTTTTTTCAGTCGGGAGTGATGTGCTAAGCTTTGAGGGAAGAAAAGCAGCAACAGTGATGCTTTACAAGGCAGGAAACAGGAAATACCAACTGGAGCCTACCATGTTTCACTGATGGGGAAAATGCATTCATCCTTTTGACAACCATTGTGCCTGTTAGAATCCATATTTGGGGGAAAAAAGTAATATATATTACAGTTTCAGGACCAGGGTAAAGAACTGCCCTGTAATTAAGTCAGTTCACAAAGAAGTTTTATAAACTTACTTTCTGAACACCTCTGACAAATTGTCTCATCTAGATTGTCTATGAACTTGAACTGGTTCCTTGAGGACCTCATGCATTTAACTACCTTATCTGTGCCTTTGACAAAGCAAACCTATAATGACTCCAGTCTTTCTAGCTCAGTGCTTTAAACCAACAGACTAACCACAGAAGCTCATATTCTTAATGGACACAAGTGCATAATTACTCCACTGATGCCTGAAAAGTAACTCACTTAGCATTCAATCAGAACAAAGGAAGAAAACTAGATTTCACTTAGCCCCCCCGTTCAGGATGTGTTTTCACTTGTCAATAGCGTTCAAGCCCAGTTCTTTTTTGGCCAATGTCCAACGTAGCCTGCCTTTCTGCCTGTTGCCATTTGTCCTGATGTATAGAACACACTTGAGAGGATTTTTTTCTCTTAATGTGGAATTTTAGTTGCATGTTTAGAAAAACAAAACAATACCCACCAGCAATGGGATATTTGAAATTCTGCTGTCTGTAGGCACAGATTTAGAGATGATGAAATCAGTAACTACAATAATATATATATATTTAAGAATATTTTAGCACTGTTTCCACAAACATATTTCATAAATAAATGGTACTTGTTTATTTTAAAAAGCTCTAACTCTTCAGAAGAGTTTGAATAAGGAAATATTTTCCCTTTTGAATAATTACTGTCATGTGGTTTTGGAGAGGGAAAAATGTAAACCTGCTAAGACAAGATTGAGTATATAGGAGAAGAGGATAATGATAGTATCTTTGTTATAAGAATTAAATTAGATAATTCATGTTAAGCAGTCAGAACAGTGCCTGACAGTGATCACACAACATAATGCCATCATTATTATTATCCCCATCAACTTCTGAGGGAATAAGCTCAGATTTTATTTTTCCATCAAAATCTACTCTGCAGATTCTTTTGTATTTCTAAGGACAATGGTAGCATCTCAATACACAGGGCAGACAATTCAATGGTTTTAGGTATTCACCCTGTTTTCTGACATATTTTTCTCTTTTTAAATCATTTTTCATATTGATTTGATGAAACATCTGACATTCATTACTGAAAAGAATAAACTCAATAAATATTTTAAATGTTAAACACAACAATAGATTACAGTCCAAACATCTGTGGCCAGGCTTCCACAGATAAAGCAGTATCCTTTTCAGTTTGGCTCTCTTTGGCCAGTTGTATGTGACAGCTGATTGCTGGGTTTGTAGAATTTAATCTTGAGAAGGCTTGAAATATGTGACTCTTCCTGGGACTCTTATGTTGTTATTTTGTGGTAGTTCAGATAAGTGCTAGTGATGGGAAAAACCTCAAATTCTTGAGTGGATAAGGACCTAAATATCTAGTCACTTCGTAAAATGTCTCCAAAATTCTCTACCTTGAAAGGAACTTGACAAATGAGTGACATTCCTGGAACCTACTGTTATCACTTAAAGAAGCATATCTCTTAGTATCTCTCAGGATTTGGTGTCAGGAATTGGTAAAGGTCTATGGGAAATAAAATTCAAGTCACATCAAGGAAAGAAAATAGAAACTAACTTTTTTGAAAAATGTGTTTCTTTAGCTCATTTGTTATCCCTGGCCTGGTTTCTGCAAGCATAGGTAGCCTTAATATGAGAATGAGCAATGTGGCTCTCAACACTGGCTCCTGGGCCTGCTCAAAGCAACCCACTGACCCACGTTGTTCAGGAAATGCTCCACTTGGTAAGACATGCTATGTTTTCCAAATTTAAACAAATCAACAGACACTTGCACTTGATTTTTAAAATCAGTGCAAAACAATAACAGTAATTTTGCTACTTCCACTATGAAAAGCAACTAAATACAAGTATCTTACATGAACACAGCATAGTCAATTATTAGCAATTAGTTTTGCAATAATGTACCAGGTACTTGGGTGCCACTGAAGAGGAGGAGTCTCCAGTTTTACCGCGCCAAGAGCTTGATACTGAGGCTCAAAAGCAAACTTAATCCAACGACTGCTATTTTTAAACCAGCGGTAAATATCCCTTCTGACACTGCTCTCTGAAGCCTCTGAGTACAATTTAGGAGTCCCTGCCTCTGACAGCACCACAGCCACACCCTGGGGACAAGGGCTACACTGCCAAGGCTTGACGCTAACGAGCCCACTCAGACACACACAGAGTCTACAGAGCTCCTGCCCTGAGCAGTTCCAGCCCTGTCCTCATTTGTTGCCGTATCACTGGAATAGGGTCATAAAAACCTTAAGACCCAAACTCTAATCCTAGGATCTTGATATTGTTGCTAAGAACCAATAGCCAGGTTGGTCAGCCAAAGACAACCAAGTCGTGTACTGTAATTTGTTTTGAAATTTTCTACCTTCTGGTTTCCAGCTGAGTTTACATCTTTCTGATTCTCCCAGTTGTAACTTCACTGAGACCACAGTCTAAAAGACTAAAATACTCATGCTATTAGCCAGCCACTTACAAGAAGAATATTATTTTCTCACCAATAGTCATTTAAATAAAGCTCCTTATGGTGAACACCTAAAATGGAGTCTCTATACAAAATAAGAGTTCAAAAAATATTTGTGGAATAAATGAATGAAACAATGAAGCAACCAATTGATGAAAAAAATTTGATGACTTGGTAAATGTTAGTAAATCTTTCTATATCTGGACTAGAATGAAGTTCTTCCAAAGCACAATCCAATAAATTTGCCAGCCCCATGAGGATAGACATGTATCATAATCCTTTTCTGTTAGCTTCCCCCCATAAGGTTATACTTGAATGGATGTTCAATAAATATTTACTAAGTAAATCAAATGATATAAACTATACAAGATTTAGTTTTACCGCTTTAATTAGCCATACAGTAACTCTATAAAAGTGTATCTCCTCTGAAAAAAGTCATTTTTAAAGATAAAGACAACCCAAATGCAAAGCTTATATTAAAAAAAAAAATCATGCACATTTCCTGGGGAAAATATTCAGCTTTCCCTAAGGTTACTGAGATTCTTCTAGAAATATGATGTCTACAGGCCCACCAGGCATTACCCATTAGCTTAGACTCCTAGCTAGAGCATGTGCTAGGATGGCATGTCTTATTCTGGGTGAAAAAAGAAAAAAAAAATTCAGTCCTCATTGATAGAAAGGAATAAAAAAGAATTGCTTCGTGAGCCAAACACAGATTCAGCCCTGACAGTCTTCTGTCTCATCACAGATATCCTTCCCTCTCCTTAATAACTCAGTTTTTCTTCTTTTTATATCATGATTAATTAGGAAACTGCTAATCAGGGAAACCGGCAAATCTTGATGGCTGCAGTCTCTGCCACCCATTTGCAGTGTCCCTCGGGAATATCTGTCAGTTTTAAATAGAAAAGGCGAAAGCAGTTGCTGGGAGGTTTTAAGGAGTATCTCCCTCCCCAGCACATACTTCAGTGACCGCAATAGCAACTCCAGGGTTCCATGTCACTTTGGGCTCAGCAACGTGGAAATTCTGAATGTCCTCAATCTCCTATTCGCTAAGTAGCAAATATTTTTGGACCAAATTTGGTGGACAATACATGCCCCAAGTTTCCCCTACGAATAAAGGAGAAGAATAGACTTACATAAGCAGTAGTCTAGAAGACTTTTGGTAGAAAGGTTACTGCCACGTGAAGTGGGAGTTTGGGAGCAGCTGGCAAAGCCTTTAGAGTGGCAGGACCACTGTTAGGGAGACTCTGCCCACACTAGCTATGAAGAGAGGGGTGAAGGCTTCTCACACTCGCTTACAAACTCTGAGGGGGTGCACTGTGTCCACCTGTGAAATGAGGCAAATAGCCGAACTGACTTTTCTCACTGAAAAAAATATTAGAAACATACAGGTGAGTCCCTCATGATTTGGAAAAAGCACAGGCAAAGGTTTCAACTTGCATAAATGGAACAGCTTGCTCATGTGTACAACCAATCTGTTGTTTTCTGGCAAGTTTCGGGTTAATATGGCCACAGATTTTCCCCACCCTTGCCAATGGCACACATGTTTGTCAAAGGTCTCCATCACTTAGAACGAACAACTGTAATATCAGAACACATTTCAATCTACCAGAGAAAATATTTTCCATCCAAAACAGTTACATAGCAGCACACGTTGCTTATTACTCCCATGACAAGGAGTCGGCAAGAAATGGGGGTAAATCTGAATGACTTCAGATTGGACAACAGTCAAAATTAGCCAAATTCCTCTGTGGGACCGATCATCTTAGAGATCATTTTGAGAGCGATAATAAATAAATTACAAACACAGTTAGTGAGGCCCGGTTTTACTCCATTTTAAATGTGACAGCTGGGGGCTAAGGGATGGGGACAAGAAATGAAAACGGGAGAGAAATTTTCTGAGAATCAAATACACAATGACAGATTAAACCAAACCACGAGCATCCTCGCCTTTCAGCGGCCAGTTCAGTTACAGGTCTCCTATTTTTGTTAAGGGAAGATGATGGGAGGGCTCCTTAAAGGCTGTGTCCTGCTATCAGGTGATCAAGAAATCTACAAACAGAGACAGCTTCTGTTCAGCATCTAAACTGTTCAGTTTTAAGCTAGACTTGATCTCCGCGACGCTGCTGGGAGCTAACAGCCAAAAATGCGAGAGCCATCAGTTCTTCCTGATGTTGCATCATTGCGTGGAAGGGGACCAATCTGACAGGGTGCTGCTGATGGACTTCCCAAAGGCTAGCGGAGGTAATGCTCACTTTCCTAGCCCTCAAACAAAGATCCGAGAAATCGTTTACACACTCCTTTCTCTTTCGTGGGTCAACGTTGAGAGAAGAATATTTATCAAGGGCCAAAGGAGATGAGAAGGTAACTCTTCTTGATAAAATGAGCTGTTCCGGGGGCAGTCTGTTCTAACCACCACCCTCGCCGTGGCTCCTCCTCTCCAGGTTTCCTTGTTTGGGCTCTTTCCACCTATTTTTGCCGAAATGCTCCTCTGCACTCAGGAGGGCCTCCCAGGCTTCACCTGGAGGTATGAGGAAGATGCACCTGCCTAGAAGGATCTGGACCGGGGGGCTTGGCACTATTTTTGCTGACATATTTAACACTTTCACAGACACAACAAAAATTACTGGAAACCTAATACCTTATATTCAGCCTCGTACTTAAGAACTTTATTTTTGTGGGTTTTTTTTTAAGCTAAAATGTTATTGATAACAAAATTTTCTCAACTAGCTGCTTCGGAACAAGATACTGTATTATGAAGCTCCATACATTTGAAATGTTTTTGAAATCCCGCCAGGACACAGTGAGTCCCTCCTTTTTTTTTCCCTTGAATTTTGAAACCATCTTCTTCCTCTTCCAGGCTCTTCTGCATCAAGACCAGGCTGATAGATGGAAGGAGCCATGAGAAAAGTGCATGAGAAAGAAGTGTGGAAAACACAGAGATGGAGAGCCCGTGGGGCTGAAGATGGCCCGGACTCAGAGAAGGCTTCTGCTTCTGCTCCCTTGGTCCCCACTGGGGCAGTCCGAGGCAGGCCAGGCCGAACTGAGACAGCAGGAAGACGGGCTGTACAATGGGTCCCCGCGAATCATGCTACTAAAAAAGGTGCAATGAGAAACAAGTCCCTGTGCATTCTCAGTCACGACTGTGGGCAGAAGAACCCATACGATTCCTCCCTTTGGTATTAAATAACAGTTTAAAAAAGCTTTTTAGAAACAAAGCAAAAACACGGTGGGACTTGAAATGTGAGGCATCCCAGGTTAGTTGTCCACTGAAATGAGTTTCATCCCTAGTCATAAATAAATAATCTCTCTCCTGGTCTGAATCCCACGCCAGGATCAATATCTCTTAACATCTTACTTATTTTATTACTGCTTTTGGTTTTCTGGGACTGATTGAAAGTTGCTCAGAGGAAATCTTTGGTTTTGCTTAAGTGTCCATGACATTTAATCATGACTTTCCTTGCAGTTTAATTCCAACCAGTCAATCAGTTAATCCACTTCAATTGATTCTGGGCTCTCAGTTATTGGCTTGCACTCATTGGGCATCCGCTGGTGTCGACTCAGCTGGGTGGCCTGCGTGAAGCTCCTCTCACACCTCTCGCACCTGGTGGAGGCAAGAGAGAAAATTGAGACCAGGGAGCAGGGCCCGCTGGGTGATGGGCTTCCTCTCATCCTGCCTAATCAGAACAGACACTCCAAAGTGGCTTCAGATTTTACCGGCTCAAGAGGTTTAATTGGTGGCTCCTTCCAAGGCCTGGATGCCTGTGATGGGACAAAGCCCGTCTGATGCAGAACAGAGGGATCTGTCAATAGGCAGGGGGAAGGTGATTTCTCCAGAGAGCCCTGTCCTGCTGCAGCTCTGATCACTGTCAGTTCAAATAGATAAAGAACAAAAAGAGATTTTTAGGAGTGAGCCATCAAAGAAGCAGCTTGTCTGCAGTTTTCTGCTCCGTAACCCCAAAGAGAAATTGATGACAAATAGAATTTCACCTGCTGCTAATTTAAAATCGGGACTTCTACTCCCTTCAGCACAGCAGCCAAAGAGTGATTATCTCTGAATTTGGAAAAAAGAGGAAGCAATACATTAGTTTGCAGTGACTACATGGGTGGATGGGGTGGATGTGGGCAGCTGCTTTTGTGCAAAAGCTAGTTAGAGAAACATAGCCCAACCAAACGCAGGGTTAAAAAAGGTTTGTGGTGAGATAGGGGACTTGGGAAAATCCAAAATCATCCAATGTTAGTGTGCTTCAAGTTCACCTCACTAGTAGGTAGAAAAAAATGTACACGGGGGCCATAATTAAGGATCAGGGTGTCTGATAAGGAGAAAACTGGCATCACATTTCAAGAATATCTCCCCTCCTAAACCTAAAAAAAAAAAAAAAAAAAAGATGGTAGTCTAGAGACCCTGGACCCAATCCACCTTCCATGCAGCACACATTGACTAGATCGATGGCTACACAATCTTCAAAACACATACCCATACATATACACGAATCTAATGGTGGCCTCTGGTATTTCCGTGGTGCTTGTCACTCCTGGCTGGTTGTCTCAGATTACACACACACACACACACACAAACTGCAGCAAGCAAGCTGGGCATAGACAGTGACTTCCCTTCACCACTCTGCTCCTCGTGCTGCCGGGAGCACTGTGGCCACCCCGGCTCTCCCCTTAATATCCTCTCAAAACTTTGAAGGAAGGGATATTCAGGAGAGTTGCAGACCACTGTTTCTCTTTTAAGTAATGCAACCTGTGGTCTCAGGTCCTGGCACAAATTGGGGCTGTGGAAAAACCATCACCAGAAAGTCCAAATTGCCCTATCCCATACCATGTGCCCCAGTGTCAGCGGGCAGTCCTCTCTTTCTCCTTTTGAGTAAATTATACAAAGTGCCTTGCCACAGAAATAATTACCTGTAAAAAGAGAACACGTCCATCCATACTGGGGATTCTTGCATATCTTTAAGGCTGGGAGGCTGGAGCTGGACTATCACGCTGAGATTTTTCAGGGCTCCTGCGCCAGCTGCACGTGTCAGGGTGAGGAAGTTGTGTTTCTTTGATTGTCTTTCGGGGAATATTTTTAGCAGCCTGTTCCACTGTTAAAAACTGCACTGTGATCTTGACAAATGTATAATGTCAGCTTTAATGTATCCGACCTATCAGCTCAATGAAAATAACTCAGAAGTATTGATCAACTAATGATTTTTGGTGTATTCATTAACGTCCACGGGCAGCTCACCCCCTCTCCAGAGCTCGTGAAGGGCTGATGACAGGCTAGCGAATTGCTGATTGTTTATTAGAAAACTGATTACTTACTGGATTAGTGTGTCAAAATATACTACCTTTCACTGCTTGACAAACTTTCAAATTATTACATTCCTTTTTTTAAATTTTGAAGCTCTAGAATCAATTTCAAAGACAGCAGGATAATTTGAACAGTTCTAAGCAATGACCAGTTACCCAGGTCATGATTTTGCATCTCTGCTCTTGTGTATTAGAATATAAAGAATTCATCAGTGGGGAGTTTAGTGCTTCATCTAAGGTAAATGTATATGTCTCTATGTAATATTTAAACATCCATATTGGACAAAGACAGGAAGAGTGGAGTTAACATTTTTCTCCTGTGTTTCCCTAAGTACCTCACAGATATTTACACTCATGAAACCAGTTGTCTTAATAGTTGGGAAATTTACTATATCTATAGGACTCCTGAGATCAACACTGAAAAATTATCTCTAGTGCCATCTGCCCACCAAGTGTGAGTAAAAACACACACAGATGTGTAGAAAATTACCTTAACTTAGATCCCTTTCCTAGGAATCTCCCCTTCTTGAGGAAAGTGGGCTATTAGAATAATACCTATGTGTGTTGGTAATTATAAAAATACAGTTTGCATAATTAAGGAAGTAAAGTTCTTGATACAAAAATAATTTTTAGTAAGGGAAGAGCCTCAGTTTTATGTTCACAATCTTTAATTTTAGGGGAAAAAAACTCTTCACCAATTATTTTCATAGTTTAATGGAACTCATCAGAAAGACAAACTTAGGTTCTGGCAGGTCAGAGCAGAACTTCAGCTGGGCTGGCATTTAACTAAAGCTGAACTACAATCTCACCAAGTGACCAGGCGTGGGTACCTCTGAGCCCAGATTTTACACAGTTTAGCAGAATAAGAAAGGGAAAAAGATGCAGGTAATGATCTGGGAGCAAAAACAATGTTCTGACATACAAGGTACCTTATGGTGCTGGCGTCACAGCCTTGAAAGGAACATTGCACGAACAATGAAATGAAAAGTCATCCAAATATTTCAGCAAAGAGAAAGCCCCCAACTTTCTAACAGATGGACATCTTAATTACACTTGATTTCCTTTTAGTTTTGAGATCATTCTTTACTTAACATGATAGTTAACTTGCTTCTAGGTACAGAGGGAGCTTAACAATTGTTATCAAAACTGACAGAGGTGCAAACGATATCAAGTTCCTTTCTGTTACACAGAAAACCCATGGGAAGCTTGCTTTCTATTTCTTTATGGGTTGTCTCGAAATATTTTCTGAGTTGAACCAAACTGCTCCATACTTATGTGCTTAATGCATATTTACTGATGTGCTTTTTTGATTTGCTCTGATTTTGCCTAGATCTTGTTAAAATATCAGACGCTCTTTGGCATATCCTTTGTTTTTCATACTAAGCCAAACTTTACTTATGGTAAAAATGCCATGATGAGTATTTTCCCTGCTTCTAACGAAGATGAAGGAAAGAAACTCTCCTATGGAAAGTTCTGGTCTTCCCAGATGTAGAAGCCAGGCATTGGGCAGCTCACACAGATCCCAGGCAGAGCAGCCTCCTGAAATCTCGAGAGATTATGTTTAGTAATAGAGAAGGAAAAGCAGTCCTCACTGTAGAGAGTAAGTTTTAGACTGACAGTTTCCTTCTTTCCTCTTTTCAATAAAGCACTTGGCAATTGCTGTGAGATGAAATGATGTCTTGTTTTGGTTCCTTGTTCTCCACGACTTCCAGTCTCACAGCACAAACTCAAAGTACAAACTTCAGTATGATTCTGTGATACATGCTTTTCCTATGAGCTCCTTTGGCTTATAAATTCTGAATCCACAGCCTAGGTTAGATGTCGACAAGGCCATGATCTACCTACAACTTGGGGGATGGAGTCTTTCAGTGGGATTTGAGCCAATCAGATTGTGAGACAAAGCCAGACATGAAACTCTGAACTCTTAGTGTCAAATCTTCTCCAGCCTTCTTGTATGGCAATAATCTTGATCTGCCTTAAAAAGACACTTTTCAGCAGAAGATTTTTGGAAGCTGGAAAGGGCTTTCCCCTATTGTGATCTGGCCCCTGAGAATTCCTGTGAAGGCCTCCAGGGCCCAGGGTGGGTGGGACAATTTGGGGACAGAGCTGTTTGGGGCATCTATTTGGAAGCTGTCCAAGGAGTAGAGTTTAGGGCTGTGCGTCTTTACAAGATTCTTATCCCTCTTTGCAACATTGTTTAAGCCAATACCCATTAGTTAAAGCAGTAAAATTAACTGTTGTGGCAAAACCCATTTTATTGACTAATCTGCAACAAAAGTTTTTTTGAATGTTTGTTTTATAAGCTTGTAAAAGGATATCTTCATAATATTTACAAATGTCCACAGGATGGATACCCATGAGCTATGATTGGAAGCGTCCCAAAATTCCCTTGGGATAGTTCAGTTGTGAACGATCTGTTGTATACACTGAAGGATTTAGCTTTCCATTTCCTAGAAGACGTTTAAACTTTGCATTTATAAAATAAGTGTACACTCAGTTCTCCCTGGCAATATATATTTGATAAGTTAAAAAAAAACTTACAGCATGTGGCTATCTTAACACGAGAAGCAGCAGAAGGAACTAAAACATGCATGTAGAATCTAATCCAACCATCTCTGGTGTTTCCTTAGTTGTTTTTTCCAGATGAAATTAGGTTATGGTCCCCAAAAATACTTTGAGAAAGGAAAAACATACAAGTACTAAAGCCCTTAAAGGATTAATCTGATGAATTAAAATTAAGTTAAATGGCATCTCTATTGGAAACATGACAAAAACAGGATGTTAAAGAAAAAAAACTGAGTGGAGTCAACGAGGTTACACTTAAGTAACACCTTAACATTAATAGAAATCTATTTCCCATTTTGACCCTGGAACCTCTTCAATTAATTACTAAAATCTATTTACACAGCAACAAGATAAAAATCAATCTGATTCTTGGCACTGTGTCCGTCTGGCTACCCGCTCTAACATAAGGGGCCAGAAGGATTGTTGGTCCTCCTGCATCTCTGCTTTTGAAAAGCTCTCTTGCTCAAAAGCACGGGAAGTGTGCCATTGTCACCTTCCACATCCCAAGCAGTGGTGAAGACAGAATCTGTGAACTCTCTGAGGGCCTGGGGGGCGATAACACAGTCCACTATGCAAGACACCAGCACCTGCAAGGGGAAACTCTGCGATGGTGCTAGCCCACCTGGCCCTTAGAAGAATAGGGCCCCTGTGGGCTGTGGCAGCCCTAGAGGGCACTGCATGGCTGGTGTCGTGCAGCCTGGACTTTTAGACCGCATCTGGTCCCCTTAGCCAGATGTGTTTATGCAGTAAAGTGCACAGACAAAAAGTGAAATGTTTAATTATTAATGAATATCATAAATTAAACCACAAAGGAAAATAGTTAAGAACAATGAATAAAAGTAACTAATTCATGGGGAGGTGGGGGGAGATGACAGCCTTTTATGAGCTTCTCCCTCTGTTAGCAGACCCAGAGTCTGGCAGGACCGGGTCCGGCAGGACTCTACTACCCCAAGCCAAGCCTGGCTTCAGGCTGAGCACTATGGTGACCATGCGCCATGCCAGCAGGTCCAGAGGAAAATCACAGATTTTGGGAAACTCCCAGGCTGAGACCAAGCAAGGGGATTCGCCTCCTACTGCCTGAATTATTTCTTTTCTTGCAGGATCTTGTGCCACTGAAGGCAAATATGCTGTACCTCTATGCCCTTTTAATGTTCCTTCTTAATCAGGGAAAGTCATTATGACAAATGAGCAAAGAGAGGTATAAGAGGGCTGAACAAGAGAGAGTCTATTACACAGACAGTAAAAACTGCTCTGAGATGAGCAACCCATCACATACGCTGGTTCACACTCCTAAGCCTTTCTATGTCCCAAGTGGGCTCCCAGAAAGCCTCCTTGCCTGTGTATGTCTGGAAAATGCCTATTAATCATTTAAACACATCTTGAACATCATCTCCTCCAGATAGCACTGATTATTCCACTTCCATGCTACCCTGAAACATGGTACATGCAAGTCTTAGGTTTTTCACTTTTGTACCTTTCACCCCATGTGGTAATACTTGTTTATTAACTGGGCTTCCCCATAAGCTATGAGGTCTTCAAAGACTGGGGATGGAGGGTGCTGAGTCTCACTCAACTTTGTAACTCCTGTGTCTAGCAGGGTGTCCAGCATAAAAGAAGGTGCTCAATAAATATCTGCTGTATGAATGAACACATACACATGAATGAACAAATGAAAGAGTGAGTGAATGAACAGGCCATCTTGCATGATTCTGAAGTCCACTCTTTTCATGATGGTGCTATGTCCAGAAACACACTCTCTCGCTCAAGTGCCCTTACCTTGCCAAAGCTCTTGGAATTCAGTTCTGTCTTTTCCCACATTTCCCAAATCCTCAAGAACTCAGACATTGCCCTGTGTTTGGTTTTGTTTTTCTTTTTCACCAACAGGGTAAGTCTAAGATCCAAAGGGCAAACTGAAAAGTCACCAGTTGGCTGCTATTACAGATTCAAACCTCCTTAACACATATGAAAGATGAGGAAATAGTCCACCAGAATCTTCTAAAGGGTTCAAGTTTCCCAAGAGACGATTACTCAGCTGTCCTAAATTGTGGCCCCACTACTGATGGTAATGGGACTGGCTGATGGCCACAGATGGCACTCTGCATGGCTCCTGGCTCAAATTCTAGAAGCAGAGACCCTCCAGAACTAGAAAAAAAAATCTTTAAATTATTTACTCCTACTTCCTTATTTTACGGATGAGAAAGCAGACCCAGAGAGACTGTCTTACATCCAAGGTCGCACAGCTCAAGCCAGGATCAGTGTTTAGGTTTCCTGACTTCATTTTCCCAGTGTCAGCCATTCAACAAGTAGGTCCTTTTGCAGCCTGGATGCTGATTTCCTAAACAGCCTCCTCCACCAGCTGGCTGAGCCGGGCAGTGCTGTGCCACTTTGTCTGGCAGCTCTCAGAAAAGGCTAAGAGAAAGAAGAGAGGCAGTGCAAGCCACTACTTACTTGAAGGGCTTCTCTCCAGTGTGGGTTCGGATGTGGTTGTTGAGGGTGGTGGCCCCAGCAAAGGCACGACCACAGTAGCCGCATTTGAAAGGCCGGTCACTGGAGTGAGTGACCACGTGGTTCCTCAGTTCTGAAGGCTGGGAAAAGGACTGGGAGCAGTGGCCACACTGGTAAGGTCTGAAACAAATGAAGAGACTGCCCAGTCATTACGTTCTACCTAAGTCAGGGGAAGTCAGCATCATGAGGCAGGGACCAAAACATGTGGGTGACATTCTCTCAGGTTTTGAAACAAAGCACAGAGCTTTGGCTGCTGGGATCCCATAAGTCCACTTGTTGCCACAAGAACGAAATTCACAGAGCTGCTGAGACACATTAATCCCCCTATGACTGTTCCTTTCCGGTCTTACTCAGATCATTTCAAGAAATCCTACTTTCCTGTTTTCATCCCTACCCCCGGGCAACTCGGGGAGCCTGGAGAGTATAGACTTGATGAAGCAGAATGTTACAAGAGAAAATATGTCGTTGTCTCTCATAATTCCCCAGCAATTCAACTTTTCCCAGCACTTCAACTTTTCAAAGGGCTTTAAAATCAATTATATAGTTTAATCCTTACAATAATCCTCTCAGGGAAAGCAGCTGTTATGATCTCTGTCAGTTCAGAAAAACTGAGGATACACTGTCCTCAGAGGAAAGAAGCTCTTGATGCCAAGGTTACTTGAGGGTGACTAGACCTTACTCTAAGTCCCAGGTAAACATGCAGGTAATTCAGCAAGGTGCACGTGTGTTTTAAGAGATACTAGACTGTCCTGGGGTCTATCTATATGACATCCCCAACTTGGGGTCATCTGATTGTGCACAGGTGAACACTGGTGTGCACCCAGATTTCTTTGTAAAAGAAATCCTGACTTCTACTTACTCTCTCCTCACCCCCAATCACAACGAATATTTATTCACTGGATCTTTTTCGTGAACTTCAGCTCCCCAGTTTCATCTGGTAGCAAGCAATGATTTATAGAGGCAGAGAGATGACAGGATATCACTGTGTCTGCCAGAAGGAGGACTAGGATGCAAAAGCAAATGGGAGGAAGTTGTGACAAATACCTGATAATTAGCAAGATTATCAGAGAACCTGCTTTTCAGCTCATGAGAAGAAAATCAATTTTTGGTTTTCTTAAAGTAGATTAAAATTCTGTCTTCTCTACAGAAGTTCTGCTTACTTAAGCAGAATCTGGTGAGTGATATAAAACCTGGGAAGTTTTCCCTATTCGAGGCTATTTCATAGCATTCCTTGACAGGGCTCTAATTTGTTTATCAAAATTTTTGTTAAGAAAATGAATAATCTGTCATGAGCGATATTAACCGAACTCAGGAAATCCTGGTTTGTGGCCCAGACACTGCTGGCTGCATTTAGAAAGCCAGTGGCCAAAGCAGATGTAATTGTTCTACCTTTAACAAATGCATAAGCTCTAACGACCAGAAACTGAAATGAAGGGCTAGGAGACAATGGTGACTGAGCATGTACAACAATTCAATTAAGTGCAAAATAAAGTGTACCCTCTCATTTGTCAAGTGAAGTGCTTAATTGTGGCTACTTGCCTCACTGAACACAAATACTATTATTTTACCAGGATTCAGCACACTGAGCACTGATTGTAGAATTTTTTAGCTTGATTAATAGTCCAGGATTGGTCAATAACTCAATACTATACAATTTTAATTACTTACATTTAGAAATCTATATAACTGCTCTCAAACAAGTTTCAAAGAAATATGTAAGAGTCCTTGGTAAGGAGTTTATCAATCTTGACAAATTGCACATGCATTTTATTACAAGTATAAAATAATGCTTCAAAGCCATTAAAATCACACGTAGATGAAAATACCCTTTTGCCAAATCTGTTCTTTGTAGTAACCATTAGCTTTAAGGGACGCCTCAAGAATTCATTCTCTTGGCATGAATTTTTAAAATTTTATTGAAGATTATTATAAGCAAAATAATACATTAATATATGCTATACCCACTGACAATTGATTTTTCTAATAGTGATGGACCATTAACATTTATTAGCCTCTGGTTATCTATTTTTAATAGCTATCACAATATACAATAAGCCGCTAAATAAAACCAATTAATCTTTTCTTTTTTTTTCTAACATTACTGTCAAAAGTTGGGGTGATTTATTTCAGAAGTCATTCCATCCCTTTTATGCTAAAAGTCACAGTGGCAAAATTTTACACACAGAAGAGGAGAAATGACCACAGAGAGACTTATGATGAATTCTTATCTCAAGGTAGTACTAATGAAAGGCAAACATCACCTTGCCCAGGACTGGCCTAAGAGGTTCTTATGAGGTACCCACTGGCCGACTGCACAGCTTTTAAAACTTTGTAGAATTGAGCTGACTGACTGGAAGGGCCTGGATTGGGGCAGATGGGAGAGGTGAGTCCTGCTTCAGCTTCTGATCCCAATCAGCTGTAGTACTTGACAAGTCACCCAACTTCCCTGACTCTCCATCTCCTAATCTCTCTGGTAAGCAGGATGGACTGAATCACATATCCTCTGGCAACCCATCATACTCAGCTCCTGCCTTCAGATAACCAACAAACGTGTGGATACAGCCTCACAGGACAGTATCAACGACGTGACCTCCAACCTCCATTGTGTGTACTAGCCAGTGCCGTGTATGGAGAGCTATCCATGGTTTTGTGTGTCTAGTCATGCTAATTAGAATATGGACCATTTAAACTTACTTGGGAAACAGCTGAGAATTCAGAGCAACAAGAAAATCTAGTACCAAGATACAGGACCAAACCTTACTCTAGTTGATTTTCAAAAAACAAAATGATAGCCCTTCAATTCTGAGGAACCTTGAAGAATAAGATTTTAGACCATATGGTCCTACTCACCTTTGTAGAAACTGTTTTAATGCCGAATTCAGAACTAAAATGTGTACTCTACTTGCCACTATAAAAACAGACTGTCTCCCTCAGTCTAGAAATGTACAGAAAGTTAGCCCTCAGAAAATACAGACAAAATCCTTCTTACCCTAGATTTTCAGTATTTCCTAAAAACAAATAAAAGGAAATGATCATAAAGTAATTTCAACATTGATTGTATCCTAGGGTTGCATCTAAAGACACAGGAATACATTCAAGACAGAATGAAATCTTCAAGTCCAAGAGCAGGGCTTAGAAAACATCACCAGTACAGAATCTCAGACATCACAACTTCTTTTAGGACAACTGGCCACAGGAGTTAAGACTCTGCGTGCACATTTCTATCAGCACACTATGACTCCTTACATCTCAGTTTACTGCTGAGGCCTTTAGGGCACAGAATCAGTTGGCACAACTCAGCTTTTTATTCTGATGACCAACATTCCCATTAACTCTTCAAGGTCTGGTTAAAGGGGCCTTACAGGGTGGGGAACGGAAGGCACAACCTGTTGGGTGTAAGATAGGCTCAAGGATATATTGCACAATGCAGGGAATATACCGAATATTATGTAATACCTGTAAATGGAAAGTAACCTTTTAAAATTATATTTTAAAAAGACTCAGAATAAAGCGTGGGGGTTTGTAAAGTTCTACAAATAATAAAGTGATAAAAAAGTGAAAAAATGAAATAAAATACATCATCAGCAATAAAAAAAAAAGATAAGGCTTAATTTATTAAACTTTGGATATAATCAATTCCAACTCCAAAGTTCTGTCTGCCTTCGATGTGTCACACCAAAGCGAGTAGGGAGGGCTGTGTTCAGCTTCACTCTTTGCAGGATCTGATGTCACTGAACAACTGTATCTCTTTTCTAAAGCACTTTGATTCTACCCAGGTCATCATACACATATTCCATCTTATTATTCTCAAAACAAATGCAATGAGCACTCTTCACAAAGTGATAACATCTCACAACCAGAGGAAGCTTTTGGTTTTTTTTTTAATAACAAGTCTTGAGACATCTAGCAGTGTGGTCCAACGATGGAAATGTTCTAGATCCACACTATCCAATACAGAAATCACTAACCACATGCGGCTGAGGAACTAAAGTATTATTTTACTTAATTGCGATGCCTTTAAACTTAAATAGCTTCATGTGGCTTGTTCCAATCCAGAAATATCAAGCTTCATGAAAAACTAGATGGTGCTCCGTCCTCAACAATGAAGTATCTAAAAACCAGACAAAGCCTGCGTCAATTTAGTTAGCATATATCAATGCCTGGTAAATTTTTAAGAAGCAAGCAAGCCGTGAGACAGTTTTGCACAACCCCTGGCATTCTCCCTAAGCAGCAGCTCCTCTGCCAAAGACGACTCCAGTAAAACGTGCAATCCATTTACTTTGCATTCGTAATTAATTTGGTGTACACATAGGAAAAGGATGAAACATTTAACAACATTAAGTGTGGTTTAGTTTAAAATATTATTAAACCTTTGATTTTTCTTTCACAACATGAAAGCCTCCAAAACAAAAGTTGATCAGTTGGGCCCCATTCTTTCCTCACACCCCATCAGTCAAGCCCAAATGCACATCTCCTGAGATTTCAAACGGGGCACTACTGAGGTCACTGCTGGCTGTGTGGAGGGAGAAAAGACCTGAGCTCCACATAAAAAGAAAAAGATTTCAGGAGAGCGGCAAAAGTGCAGAGCCAAAACACCCGGAGAACATGGGACTCTAGAAAGAAGATGACCTTCACACTTGGGAGGGGAGAAGCTTGGAACTCGAGAACATGGACACAGTCCAAAGAAACTATTATGGGATAGATGATCTCCAGGCTCCTCCCCCCACACAGCACCTCTAGCATCATCTTCCCCTCTGGTACCACCAATTATAAACAGTGATGCTCAAAATACACATTTGAGCGGCTGACAGTGTGCCCTGGAGGCTAAAGGCAAACTTTCCCCAGGTGGCACAATCAATAAGGAAAAGAAAAGGATGCAAAATAAAGATAAGCATTACAAAGACGCTCTGCAGAAAAAAAGAGAATATATTCATCAGAAAATAATCCACTGTGACTAAAGGCTTTGCTTAACCCTTTCTGGAGCACTGCCCCACACTCCCTATGAGACTATTGAGAGTTTCTAAGCAGAAAAACAGAAGAAAAAAGGGATTTCTAATTCCTGGTTCAAGCACAAGTCAGTCAAGCTGTTCTAGCCTAGGTAATAAGCTTATCCTTCAAAACTTTATGAAGTCCCTAAATAAAATCTAGGTTGATCTAGATTCCAGCAGCTTTTTCCCTCTGAATTAACTAAAGAAAAGGAAAAGTCAGTAGGCTGAGAAAAAGGAAGACGAGATTTTTGGCTTTGTATGTTTTGTTTGTTTGTTTGTTTAAATGGAGGTACTGGGAATCGAACTAAGCACCTCGCACATGCTCAGGGTTCATGTACTCCACCCACTGAGCTATACCCCCACCCCCTGGCTTTGTATGTTTAATAATGACAAATCAAGAAACAACAATTCTGGGGCCCCTGGACCCTCATACGAATGCATTTTTATCTTTAGCACTAATTCCTAACTTTGCCAAGTGGAATTTTTTTCTGCGTTCAGCATAAATAACATGGTAATGAAAAATGGTAATGTTGGCAACCCTGGGTTTCCTCGGGTCTCTTTCCATCATATCAACATGTAGACTTACTGATGGTCCCTCACATGAAAAAACTTACAAATAAATTCATACACAATCTCTTTGGTGAAGGTTCAAATGTCTTGGGTTTCACGGCCAAATATTCAGTCTGTTGAGTGAAAACTCTTTTGGACCTGAGATTCAGGGGCCTGTTTCAAATCTGGACCTGTTTGAAACTCTAACCTGTTTACTTTCTGACTTTGTCTTCTGTGTCTCCCTTTCTTGCCTCTACTTCTAGCAAGATTATCCTATCAAAAAAAAAAAAAGCATTTGAGTTTTTCAAACAGAAAGGAAATGGTTTCTGACTGGTATGTTCTAAGCTTTTTCAGTGTATTTGGCTGAATGGGCACAAACTGCCACTAAAAGCCAGCTAATTTATGGAGTCAATCACTAAGGAAAATATGTAGATTCAGCAGTTGTAACTCTCCAAATGGACAATAAGAGAAAAGACTCTGAATTTTACAATCATGCACAAACTAATGTTCCATTTGAGTTCTGTATATTTCTCCTCTTTAGAATTCACCTATGTGGTTAAGAATTACGGAGTGTACCTTCTACTTCCAAACTTGTTGGTACCAAGGGAGCGTGCTAGGTTCTGGAACACCATACAGCTTATCCAGGCCTGTGTGCTAAAAGTAAATTATGTACCTAGAATGAAACTAGTGGGTCAAAGCCACTGGGCATCTCCCTCTATTTCCCTTATCTCCAATAATCAACTCCTGTGTGAGGGAGTTATTCAAGCACCTCCCCATGAGAAGTAAGAAACACTGTATATGATTACGTTGCCTTTAAAGGAGTTAATTTTTTGAAGTCATAATTTTTAATTTTAACTTATTCATGAATGATGGTGATCACCTCTCAAGTTTTCATCAACAAGGCACCGGGAAAGGCAAAGTAGGAACCCACTGTTTGGGCAATTTGATCTCACCCTGGCGATCTAGCTGAATATCAAGCACCCATTACTTCACCTCATCTGGGAAGGCTCAACCAAACCATACCTGGGCATCAGCATCAAATAAGCCCATCAGGGTCTAGAATGGGATGGGAGTCTCAAACCACTTAGACTTTGGCCAGTAACTCTAGATTAGCTTGGAATCAGCACTGATCTAACCATCTCTCATGGAAGTGCATTTTTGTATATGTAAGTTTTCTAAATTTATCAGGTACTTTTCTGACAGTTTACAGAGATGCATGACAAATTCTGACCCTATTATTTGACGGGACACTTCATAGGGACTTAAACCACAATACACATATGTCTTTCTAAGTGTAATGGGGGTCAGACAAAACAGTCTGTTTCATTATCTTTCTATTTACCATGACATATTTTCATTGCTTTATGTGACATTCAGCATGAAATCGTATTGTATTGAAAGCTAAGCTGTGAGTTTCAGTATCCAGAAACTTTCAACTATCATTCTATCTTAACTTCTATGTTGTTATTATGATCACAATGAACTTTTACAAATAATAAAATAGATCCATACAGTTAGAGTCACTCAATTTAAAAAGCAAGTTGATAATAACAAGATTTTAGTGCACTTTTTGTATTTAAAAAAATAACTAAAATGCCTTGCAAACTTCGAATAAATATCTCGAGGCTATATGCATACTTGCAAGGAAGGTAAGCGTTCAAAAAACTCCTTCTGGAGTAAGGAAAACCTTTTCAAAACTTTTGTGTCTCCCCTAAAGCCAATAATACTGAGATGTGAAGAAGTCTGTTGATACTCTCACCAGGGGCTCTCCTATTGAAAGCAAAAGATTCTAAAGACACAGCTGCCTTCATAGCCCTAATACAAATGTTTCAACATTAATTAGTTACAGCAATGATTGATGCCAAGCATGTGGTTTCTAGAATGGGACAAATAAAAGCATATACACACGTAAGTGTGCACATGTATCGTGAAATGGATCATTATTTCAAAAAGGATCCACCTCCTCTCTGCTACCTTTCCATCCTCCCTACCTGCTTGGGTTCTACCACCTGCCGTATCCTGCAGACCTGGGAGGGGAGAGTTGGATGCAAATTATAAGGCAAGGAGAGCTGAGTGGTTTAAGGGTTAATCAGTGGCCAAATTAAGAAAATAATTCAGGAGTCCTGCTTCCGAGTCTCCTATCCTACCTCCAAAAATCAGTTTCTGCTTTTATATTCAAAACAGTCTAAGCTATTTGGGGTTTAATCAAATTTTCATAGGACGTGAACAGATAAAACACAATCCTTTCTCATTGCATTAATTTGATTTTTGTCTTTTGCGCTCCCAGCTATCAAGACTGTCGAATAAACCAGTTTTGATTCATAAATTATAGTTCCATTATATCTCCTGTGCCACTCGTCAGAGTACCTGAAATTTTAATTCACTTGTTCAGCTAAATTTCATCCTCAGTTCACGGCCATAAAATTCTTTATTGACAAACTTTCAAACCAACTTTGACTCTGAGGTATCTAGTCAACATTTTTCTTCTGTGTGGATATTAGTTTATTGAATAAGTGGCATCTGTTTTCCTCCACATCACTAGCAGAGGAGGTATTTCCTTTTGACAGCTTTGCAGGATTTATGGGTTTGCATGCTCTGAAGAAAAATAGTACTAAGCAAAAAATTCCAATTCATTACCTCTTAGTACTTAATTAAGTTCATACCCATGGCACACTGGAGGTGAACCCTGAAACAACTGTGACAGCAGCCGAGCAGCCAGCTAGATTATCTCTGGGAGACAGAGGGGATTCTAATTATCCTGACCTCATTTTTTCCATCTATGATATTCATAAATGTGCCTTCTATTTTTTTTTCCAGAGTACGTATCTTTTTTTTTTTTTGAAGTATAGTCAGTTTACAACGTTGTGTTAGTTTCTGGTGCACAGCACAGTGATTCAGTTTTTTTTATCTATTTATATCTATATCTATATATATTCCTTTTCATATTCTTTTTCATTATAGGCTATTACAAGGTATTGAATATAGTTCTCTATGCTCTACAGTAGGACCTTGCTGTTTACCTATTTTATATGTAGGAGTTAGTGTCTGCAAATCCCAAATGTGCCTTCTATTTTGCTTCCCTTTAGACCTGGACAAAGCTGCTTAGAAAGGGGGGGCAGATTTCTCTGTGCAGCTACTATTCCTGCAGCCCTTCCAGACAATAAAGTCAAAGAGGGGCCAAACATTACTCTCTGACCTTACAGAACGCAGACCTCTGATTCAGAGGGCTTTCCCTGAGGTATGGCTGGAAGGCAAGCAGTGAGTCTCACTAAGCAAACACCTGGTGAGAAGTGAGAGGTGGGCTTACCTGTCGGGGTTCTGCGTGCACACATGCATCTGTAAGAGGATCCGCTGCGTAAAAGTCTTAAAGCACTGTCCACATTTCCAAAGATGCCAGTCACTGAACTCCGAGTGGAGCTGGCTGGTGGAAGTCGGGCTCGCCAGGACTCGCTGGTTTTTCACGTTGATTTGGTTAAATCCTGATTCAATGGGCCCGGACTTATCCAGGAGGGAGAAGTTCCTGCTGCATGGAGTCTGTGGGAAGACAACGGAGCGCTGCTGGGTGGCAGGGGAGAGTTTGCTGTTCTTGCTGAAGGGCTGCAGGGCGTCCTGTCTGCACATGGCTTCCATGACTGTCGAGGGTACATTTACTGGGAAAACAGCAAGAGTTTGAGAAGATCAATTTTAGTAGCCCTGAAAATAAGCATAATAGCACACACTTCTAAAAAAATCCCTCTAAGTCAACATTTTAAAAATTGGTGTTTCTGGACTCACAATGAACAAAAGAACAGCCAATTTGATTTGAGGGGGAAATCACTGTTATTGCCAGTTAACTCAGTCAGTGCCTATTTATTAAGCAACTACTGTCTGCTCCAGGTTTTTCCTAACTGGTCATTGCCCTCACTTACGACTTGAGATAAAAAGACTCCATAACTGGGGGGATTTGAGCTCGGAGGCACAGCAAGAGACAGGGAGAGAAAATGGGGCTCCCTAGAGAGGGTGGCCTTCAGCATGGCAGAGAAGGTAAATTCAGGCCTTCAGAATTTCAGGCCTTTCAACAGACCCTGCCAGCACAGGACAGATTTTCAAGGAAAAGTGACTAAAGAGGTGAAGGCAACCATATGAAAGACACCTGGAGACAGAAGTCTGGTACGCTGGTGGGATGGTGAGGCAATCAGGCTGACTGAACACAGTGTGGGTTTGCCAGCACTGTGGGAATAAAGGGTTGGGAGGGTAGACCTCAGAGGGCCTTTAATGTCCAAATAAATAAATACACAAAAGACTTCAGGCCTAAGAAATAGACACTGACTGTTTCTGAGCAAACGAATAGCAAGAAAAAAGAATCCATGTTTAGGGAAGGCTTGACAGAGGCAAAATTTACACGCAGGGTGCAGGCATAAGGTAAGAGTAGCAGGCATCAGAGTATGTGATCACAGAGGATGGTGCTTGCAACTCAGGCTTTGGAATCAGAAAGACCTGTGTTCAAATCCTAACTCTGCCTTTTACTAGCCTGGTGATCTTAGGCAAGTTACGCAGTCTCTCTGTGCTTGTGTCTCCATCTGTAAAATGAGGACAATGAAACTAATAATTTTAAAAGTAATGGCATGGCTTAGTGGGTGAGATGGTCTAGATTTTAACTCAACTACCTACAGCTGTCCCTTGGTATCCACGGCGGGGTTGGATCCAGAACCCCTGCAGATACCAAAATCTGCAGATGCTCAAGTCTCTTATATAAAATGGCATAGTATTTGCATATAATCTACTCACATCCTGCCGAATACTTTAAATCATCTCTAGACTAGTTATAATACATAATACCATGCAAATGCTAAGTAAATAGTTGCCAACATATGGCAAATTCAAGTTTTGCTTTTTGGAACTTTCTTAAATTTTTTTTCCCCAGAATATTTTCCGTCTGTGGTTGGTTGACTCTGCTGGAGCGGAAGCTGTGGATCCAGAGGGCTAACTGTGGGCAGGTATGGAATACCTAAATCCACAGTTTAGTCCTCGGTAAAATGTAAAGTGGTCACGGGAAGGAGTGAGAGATAATGCACAGGCAGCAGCTAGTAAATGCCAAGGTTGTCACTCAACAGATACTGAGTTCTATGAGCCCTGTCTTCCTCATCTTTAAACACCAGTTTGAGGTTTAAATGAGATAATGATAGTACTCATCACAGGGCCTACTATCAATATCAGTCACAATTCTTACTATTACAGAAGGAAAAGAGCCTCGAATGAAGGGAGATGGACCCAAGCGGGGTGGTGGCAGTTGGAGTGGGGAAAGAATGAGAAGAAACATTTTTGAGAAGGGAAACCTAATATATTTGAATTTTGTTTTTCTTTTTTCTTTGTCATTGTATTCATAATATACATCATGCGTTCACTTGTCAACCCACAGGTTCAGAGGTGATGAGAATCTTTACATTATGCTTAAAAACTATTATTCTTACTTTAATTATCTACTCTGGCAATAAAATTTGTTTCTTGGTATTTCAGGGATCATAGAGATTCAAGGTTACAGCATGGTCAAGAGAAGGAATTTAGAGACCAAAAAGTTTGAAAAGGATGATTGGCAAAAACGGTGGTGGTGGGAAATAAATGATGGCTGTTGACCATCGGGTTCAAGGTCATGTGAAAAGGAACACGTGAACTGGGTGCTCTCATTCTTCCCTGCAACAGACCATCTCTGAGATTCCAGTGGAGCAAGAAAACTCAGGTGTCAACTACAAAAAGAGAACAAGAGAGGACCACTACCGCCAGGAGGCTCCATGCTTGAGTGGATATGTAGACACCACGTGTGGCGGGGTTAAGGATGCCACTAAGGACTCTTCCACCCTGAGTGTTCTACACTTTCACATGTATTAGATGAATCCAACAAATGGAACAGCTCATCCTCTAGGGCTCTGTTGGCATGGCCCATTCTGTCTTATGAAGAAGAAATAAAGCAAGAGACTCACAGACCAGGAAAGAATGTGGAGTTTGTCTACTTGGTAGTTCTTTATCCTGATTGTATATTATACTCATAGAGATTTTTTTAAAATACCAGAATCTCTTGGTAGTGCCTGGAAATCTGCACTTTAAGTTCCCCAAGTGCTTCTAATATAAAATCAGAGATGAGAACCACTGATCTAGTCCTACCCTCTCTTATTACAAAAAAAAAAAAAAGCTGAAGCTCAAGCAGGTCTAATAACGCGTCACACATTCAGTTAAGGTCACAGCTAAGCTGGAAGCTTTAGCTTTCTTTCTGATGTGCAGGGTTATTTTTTTTTTGACCATACTCCTATTCTATGTCTGCTCAATTGCTGTGGTGCAAAAATAAAAAGGACATTTTACAGCTAGTACAGACATTTGTGTGTGTGTGTGTATACACATATATAAATATACGTTATACAGGCATCTATGTGTGCACACATACACATATTTATGTACATGTCTATATTTTATATATAAGTATTTATGAATAATTTCAACTTTTGTGGCAAAAGTGTATAATCAATATGAAATGTGTGCACACATTTTAGACTTTCAAAAAACCTTTGTACACAGACTGTTAGTTTTAAAATATATATTGAAAAATAAGGAGAAATGTCTTATGTTTTCGCTCTTTCTTAATAAAAGACAAAAACAGCAGCATTGTCACAGATGAGGGTAGAACCCATCTTACTTAGCCTGTTTATAACTAATCTGGAAGAGACAAAGCACAGGGAAACCCACAAGTTTTCAGGCAACACTAAGCTCTTGCAGGCTAGGAAGGCCAGACTAGCAGGAAGGAAGACAGGGTGGGGAGACTGCGGAATGAAGATGTCATCAACATGCAGGAGGGCAGGAAAACCAGCCAGAAAGGAAAGCTTTCTGCTAGAAAGAGGAATATGATGCCTCCGGGGAAGTCACACAAATAACACTGTAAGTAGAGACTGTAAGTGCTGACTTCTTACTTAAGCCCCTGGAAAGTAACCGAATAAATTAATTCTCAAAAATTATTAAGGTCACAGAACCTTTCTATTAAACAAAAGAATATGCGGGCCAATGGAATTTTTCTAAGTTTAATAATCAATGTCAAAACAGTAATAAAGAAAAATGTCTACCAGTTTGTATAACAATCTGGGATAACGGGATCTGAGTTAATGATGATAGCATTTAGGCCGTAAGCATGGAGATGGCTGGAATAAAATGATTCTCTGTCTTATTATTTTCTCCTATGGGACACCTCTAAACAAATATAACACGTTTTTGGGACACAGTAGCAATGCTTGCTCTTTCTACTTTTGGCATGATCCTTTATTGTACTTGGGAATTAATTTAATTCTACTGAATGAAATGAGCTAGGAACAGCCTTAATAATTTCAGGTAATTTTCACAAAAGCAACCATATTTGACCCCAAAGCTGCCCTGCAGAGCCCTCACACACTTCCACAGGACCGGAGAGGTCAAGCTACAAAGCATACTTTTTTCAGCAGGACTTAAAGGACACAGAGGATCACTCTTCCTAAAAACCAGTCTGATTGGCCCAACAATTCAAAGTATTAACAAAACACAGGGAATTCACAGAAAGAGAATAGAAAATGAATCAGAAAACACTATCATATCCCAACCCAAGATAGGACAAACTGCAAGAGGCCAGAAGTGACTAATGAAAAGACCAAAAGGATGAAGAGATTTCTGTCTGAAGACGTACTGAGCAAGTAAAATCATTTCAGTCTATAAGACAGAGATTAAGGGGAAGAGGGCAAACTCTCAAAGCCCTAAAGGATTTATAGTCAAGGAGGATAATCAACTCATCAAATTTTACAGAACTATAACACTGAGAGAGTGAAATGCAGGATCCATAAAACAAAGTCCTACTTTACTCCCTCATCCATTCACTCAGTCCACAAGTGCTTACTGAGTATCTATGACGTGCCTGACACTGCTGGGGCTGTGGACACAGGGGAGCGAGAGTTACAGCTCCTATTCTCAGGTCACTTAATCTTTAGTGAGAGAGACAGATATCACACAAATGCTCTTACAGGTAAATACTGACTCAGTTTCATCAGATCTAAAATTCCATTCATTTTAAGTCACACCATCAATTGTAAGTCTCCCTGCATTGTGAGATATTTGCCAGGTCCAGAAAGATTAAAATGTGAAAAATATGTGAATTTGAGAACTGACAATATTCAGTTGCTCCAAGTGTAATAAGTGCTATGATAGAAAAGAAACGGGGCCAAGAAAACGTCTGTCAGAGATGGCTAAACCTGGGGTGGGAGAGATGGCTTCCCTGAGGTACTGACCCTGAGTGTGAGTCCTGAAGATGCGCTGGCATCAGATGGGGGCAAAGCAGGGAAAAGGCGATATGAGAGGAGATGGACTGTTGGCAGCTGTGCCACTGAGTCTGTGTGGCACACGAGGTAAGAAGGAGCTCAGGACACGGAATGGAAATAGGTGAGGGGAGGGAGGTTAATACAACAGAGGATGGTGGGGTCTGTAGAAGACTAAATAGAGCCAGGCTAGTCTGAAGATGTTTGAATTCTCATTTTGTAAAACAGTATGTGAGCCATACGAATATTTCTGGAGACTACGTAGCCCATTGGCTATCATATTAAAGAGGTGGGGACTGAGATGAAAAAGAGTATGAAAAAGTGTGTGTGTGTGTGTGTATAAATGAATTATT